CGGCAGACATCAATCATTCTTTAAAAACATTTATTAGACACTTTGACAGACGGAGAAGCATAGGCCAATCAGAATGTAATGTAATGACCATTCAACGTGTGATATTTTTCGAAAATTATGGCACATTACTAGTTTTGCATAATGGTGTAGAATAAAGTCTGAAAATGATGAAAGTTAACCTACTTTTTTTTTTAAATGGTAGCAAAACAGATATCTTCCATCACAAAAATATGATACCAAAATTATTTTTCAGTGAGTTTTGGCCGAAATCTCTCGCTTTTATCCTGTGTTAAGCGATTGATGTCATGGCATTGACATGCTTTTAATTTAAATTTTCATCGACCAACTTACACATAACTTTCTATACGTTAGGAGCCATCCAAGACACCAAATCAGTTGTTTTCTTTGTCAGAGGAAAGAGGGCTACTAAATGTACTAATCGTGAAAATTCATATTTGGGCTTATGAATTAGAAAAGTGTTATAGTACCGAGTCATTTGCATGCGGAGAACACATCACAAATCCATTTTTGCTCCTCTTTTTCAAAGAAAATGTCTCACCAGTCACATCTCAGACTTCAAACTTGAGTTACCCTGCTATGTTTACCATCAGGCTTTGAAAAAGTTGCATACATAACCGTAATACCATAGTACCTAAATGTATAATATAAAATGCCTAACTTTGTGGATAGAATAAGAGAGATCTACAAAGTTACGCTATCGACATTGCTGATCCTAGAGGTAAGGAGGACGCGTGTCATGTGAACTTCGTAAGAGACCTCTCTCACCGTGGAGCATTGGAGCGCGGAGGCCGAAGTTCTGAGTTTCAATTCCTCGTGAGGACTCAGAATTTTTTCATTGTCCCCCGCTCGTTAGAAGAAAAAAGAAATGCCTAAGTTATTACAAAATTCCGTAACCGCTATTGCAAAATGCGTAGGTTTTTTTGAAGAATCCATCGCTATTGCAAAAAGGCCGCAGAACAGCTTACTCTTACACAATAAAAATGAGTTATCCTTGTTTCATTAGAAGTCTTTCGTTTTAACATCAGTTGAGATAAGAATTAATACAACGCAGATCCTGAACCGGATGACCTTAAGATCCAGGCTCGGAAGCTAAGGGAAGAGTTACGTTTACACATCAACATTTTCTTGCGCATGAACAGCTCTGTAGTAAATCAACGACGTCTTCTACAGAGAAACCTTTTACATTCTTGTTTTATGTCCCTTTTGAAGCAAGCGTAGGCTAAAGGGTTTATTCCAGAGTTAATCGCTTGAAAAGTTCTTTAATGATGAAAATAATTACATGGATGACCTGTCAAAACTAACAAACTGCAGCGCATGATTATTCCGTAACACGGTAGAAATACAATCATTAGCAAAGCGACCCATTTTACCGCGGACGAGTTCTGAGTTTTAACTTTATACTCAGCGACCATTTGATTAAAGCGCGATTGCTTAGCTAAAATGTTATCTTTATATTTTTGCTTGTGAACGACAAGAAGCGTAGACGTAAGGTAAAATAATGAAATTACGCACAAGCTTACCTCAAAAAACAAATGCAAATATCCGCTGATACGATGGACTGAATTGAGTTTCTTGACAATACTATAAGATTGAAAAGAAAATGGATTCCCCAAGATATAAGAACCATTTGATTGACTAGGTGGCGCTTCATAAAAGTTAAGTATTTCAAAGGTTTCACGACGACGATATATCGTTCCGATACTAAAGTAATCAAGTTTGTTCCAGA